CACGTGGGACACCTAGATGAATCTCTGGCCTCCTGGCTTCACACTTGTCCAACCCTGGCTGTAGCAGCCATCTGGGAAGTAAACCAGCCAATGGAAGATATCTCTCTCTCTCTCTCTCTCCTTTCCCTTCTGCCTCCACTTCTGATCTAGCTTCCTGCTAATATGCACCTTGGGAAGCAGCAGATGATGGCTAAAATACCTGGCTGTCTGCCACGAACATGGGAGTCCTGGAGTTCCTGGTTCCTGGCTCCAGCCTGGACAAACCCTGACTATTGTGGCCATTTGGGGAGATTTCAACAAATGGAAGATTTCTCTCCTTCTAATTGTCTTTCAAATAAATAAAATTTTTTAAAAAACAGCTTACCCATCCAGAAAGCCCATTTATTCTGTAATGCAAGTATTTACATCCACCACAGAATCTCAAATTTAAAGAGACCTTGAAGGACATTTAGTCTAACAAATAAATGAAGATTGAATTTACTTCAAGCATCTATTCTAATAACAAACTCAAGGTATACATTATCCTATAAATTATACATATATTAAATCATTTAATTGTCAAAATACTATAAGATAATTAACATTATTACCCCCAATATAAGACAAGGACACCAAGGCACACACAGGCCACTAAGCAATCTGTCCAATTTCCTGCAACCCACATGGAGACTTTACAGACAAAATTCCTGGCTCCTGGTTCAGCCCGACCTGACCCAGCCCAGCCTTCATTGTTGCAGCCATTTGGGGAGTGAACCAGCAGATGGAAGATCTTTCTCTCACTCATTCAATCCCACTCTCTTTGTCTCTCTACCTTTCAAATAATATAAATAAACTTTTTATTATAATCACTTTTTGGGGCCAGTGTTGTAGCACAGCGGGTTAAGTTGTCAGGACTGTGGCATAGCAGGTGCAAAGCCGCCAACTGCAGTGCAGGCATCCTATATGGGTGCCACTTCTAGTCCTATCTGCCACACTTCAGATCCAGCTACCTGCTAATATGCCTGGGAAAGCAGCGGAGAATGGCGAAAGTTCTTGGGTCCCTGCACCCATGTGGGAGACCCGGAAGAAGCTCCTGGCTCCTGGCTTCAGCCTGGCCCAGCCCCAAACCATTGCAGTCATTTGGGAAGTGAACCAGCAAATGGCTCTGGCTCTGTCTCTTCCTCCCTCTCTGTAACTCTGCCTTTCAAATAAACCTTTAAAAAAGAAAGAGGGACCAGTGCTGTGGCATAGCAGGTAAAGCCGCTGCCTGCAGTACCAGCATCCCATATGGGCCTTGGTTCAAGTCCTAGCTGCTCCACCTCTGATCTAGCTCTCCACTATGGCCTGAGAAAGCAGTGGAAGACGGCCCAAGTGCTGGGGCCCCTGCACCCACATAGGAGACCTAGATGAAGCTCCTGGCTTCTTAATCGGCCCAGCTCCGGCCAATGCAGCCATCTGGGGAGTGAACCATTGGATGGAAGACTTCTCTCTCTGCATCTGCCTCTCTGTAATTCTGCCTTTCAAATAAGGAAAAGAAATAAATCTAAAAAAATAAAATAAAATAAAAACCTGATCATGAAGGACTTTTTTAAAAAGAAACAAAGAAAAGCTAAAACTTAAAATCTTTCATTATTTCCAGAAACTTTGCTTAAAAATAGAGGGGAGACATGCATAACTACAGACTAATAAAAGCTTCAAAATTACACTGCAAAATCATTAAGCTATGTTGTTGCTTGCATCCTATCTCAACTTCCCCATAAGTCTCTCACTGATTCCCATCAAGCACTTTGTTTAACTAAGGCTTACTAACAACCTCAGTATGTACAGGACACTAAGAGAAGTGCTAAAAGGATACAAAGATAAGACAACACCTACACCCAACAGCTCACAGTCTAGGGGAAAGACAACTTTATTACAGTGTGACAAATACTTTATTTGAACTACCTCCTACAAGCATCTCCCAGCAAGTTGATAATACCATTCCACACCACATACCTGAAAATTCTCTGGAAGAAGAAATTTCACTGATAATCAAATAAAGTTTGAGATAATTCCAGGATATTTAAGAAATAAGGACAGCAATCCCTGACCTAAAGATTAAAATGATGTCCATTCTAGTATATCCAGCTCCCTGGAGGTTCTAAGGAAAATGAATCTTTTACATATATTATCCCAATATGGGTGGCAACAGGGAGTTGGAAATCCAAGAGTACTGACCCCGCAAAAGATGAAACACTCCTGCCTCTAGCTAGGGCTCTTTTTAGTTCTAACTGTTGTTTCCATTCTCTCTAGAGAATGGCAGTGCATTAGTGGCTACGTTCATGGACTTTGTAGTCAGACCAGGGTTAATCCTGACCTCAACCAATTTACAGGCAATGAGATTTTTCAGCAAACCTCAGCTTTCTTTAAATAAAAAAAAAAAAAGTTATTGTGGGAAATTAAATAATAATTAATGCAAAAGGCTTAACAGGAAAAAAAAATGGGGAGGAGAGGTTGGAAGACAAGGGGGCTGGAGGTTAGGGGAAGGAATTGGCAGTTATTACAGGGTACCAAAACAGAAAACAATAAATTACACAGAACTGATCATTTTATTATTCCAACCGATAGTGATCTATGCTTAATTTACTTGTATCCTCCTATCTCATCCATCCCTAGAGAGCAGCTACTTCATAAATCTAAGGCTAGATTGTAATTACATGGAGCTTTTCTTTTTAAATGTCCAATAGTCCCAATGTTTAAAGATCTCCAATAGTCTCAATTAGTTGAGAGAACATGTTCTAACCCCTCTAACTATCCACACTGGAGCCCAAAAAAAAGGTACTAAAATTTTAATCACCCAAAAGATACCCTCCACCTGAAACAGAGACCACTACCTTACCTAACAAAGAAACCAAGAGTGTATAGGAAGCTAACAAGGGGGAAAAAAACCACAAGTCACACTGGTCATCACTGACCCCAATGTCAAAATAAGGAAAACAAAAAATTAAAAAATAAAAGCTCTACTCACCCACACCCCTTCCTATAATTCCTGAAAGAACCAGTGGAGAACAAATCTTCCATTTTATAACCCCAAAGACTATGTACTACACACCAGTCAAAACAATGCCTTAGTTCGTGAAAATAGTCCTGGACACCAGTTAACTAGGATTCTCACTACAGCAATACAAAGCCCAGTATTTAAAGCCAGACCCAAATCACCACCATTCAGTCATCCAGAACCTATTTTCAAACTGCCTTTGTACTCCTCCTTCAGATTCCCTCATCCCTCCCCCTAAAGGCTGGAGAGGGAAACACTGTGGCAGCAACATGACCAATCTTCCAATGATCCACCAAAACCTCTCTAGGCTGGAATCAAGGCAGAGGGAACATTTGAAAGAAAATTGTAAAAATATTAAATGAGAACTACAGTCCAACAGACTGTCTACATTGTCTTTTTCCTTTCCTTTTTACTTGTTATGAGATCAGACATCAAAAATTTCCTGTAACCCTTGCCTAGATTATAGTAAAGCAGGAACAAAGTTCTGCTTCCTCCTGAAGCCACAACCTCACAAGGATGAAATCATATTTCAATAAATGCCTTCATTCTAGAAAAGAAATTCAAGGAAGTGTTTCAGCCTAAAAGAATGGGGGGGGGGATTTGAGGGGTTAGGAATGGGAGGCAAATCAGAGTGTTAGTATTATTAAAGACACATACTATTCCCAAGCTAGTGAGTAGCTAAAACATTAAGGCCCATCTTGTTACAATTAAGACCGTATCTACTCTAGCTATAATTTTCAGACTCATTTGGTTTTCAAAGAGAGAAGAGAACATCCCAGTTTTTAGCTACTGATGAGTTGGCTATGTGACTACCTAGAATCAGTGCTTTTGCAAGAATGCATTTGCAAAAACAAAACAAATCTTAAGATTAAATAAAAGATATGAAAATAGTCATGTGCCATCACCTCTAACAGATTCCTGATTTCATGATAAATCAACTGACAGAAAAAGATCTCCAAAAAACATCTTTCAGATTGGTTTAAAAATAAAAATTCCCCGTGTGCTTTCTCAAATGCATTTTAAACACTAAAGTTTATGCAAGTGCTTTCTCTTGGCCAAACCTTATTCAAGCCCATGCCCTTTTCACCGAGCTCAAAGCTGAAAATATTTTCAGGTGTGTCACCACTTTACTCAAGTGAAATAAAAGGCATGATTAGTATTTCCCTATCCCTTTAAGAACATAAACCAAAAGTTATCATATTTGCAGATTTAACATACAACGCCTCCACAAATCTCTGCCATCAAAGGTAGTTTTAAGAGGAAGAAGGGGTGGCAATTCAGTTAACAGGGATTCATTTGTTTTCTTTTATAAGGCAAAGTAGGGAGGCTACATCTAGCAGGAGAATGAGGCTCACACCCACCGCACCTGGAAAAGTAAGAGGGATCCACCCAGGAACGGCAGGGCTGAAACCGATCTGGGCCGTCCAAACTCTCTGGGGGAAAAAACAGTACCGTTTAAGCTGCAACCCCCCGCCACCTTCCACCTCGACAAATCCAATGATAAAAGGAAAAAAAGTTTGGAAACATATGAAGAACCATCTGTATAACTAGCTTCCGACCCTGACAAATTCTTTTCCCAACCCACACGCAACATGCCAAAAAAAAAAAAAAAAAAAACTTTTAACTTGGGCTCTGAAAACATTAAGTATGTTAGCTTAATCCAGAAAAAAAGAGAGAAAACATAAAAATCCAAAGAACATAACCAAATGTAAATATACACAACTTCTCTTACCCCTCTGGTTCTACATAGCTCCTAGAAGTTTGTCCCTAGGTCTTGTATATTTTACGTTAATAAAATACCCAGATACCCCCCCAAAGTACTGAAAGTAGAAAGAAACAATATTAATTTGCTTAAAAGTCACCCATCAGCGTAACAGACTCTCTCCAGTTGTTCAATTCCCTCTGGTTACCAGTAAGACAAAAATTCGACTTGGTTTCTCCGCCTTTGCCCGTCCATACACACATTTTTTTAAAAGGCACACACCTCAAATGTGGACTTCTAAGAACCAGTCCTTTAAGAAAGAAATCCAAGGCTCCGTCAACGTGCTGAGAAAGACAAATCCAGGGAGGCAGCTGATTTTCTCCACCTCTTCCTCCTTTCAGGGTCTTTCCTGCTCTTCTTTCTCTCTCCCTCCCTCCCTCTCTCTTTTTTTCCCCTCAGATCCAACACCTAAAATGGAAGTTGCACCCAGCCAAAGGCAAGGGAGCCTGGGTGGTGACAAACTGATCTGGCAGCCCTACCCCCTCGCTTTCCTAAGTGATGTCAGCCCCTGTGAGCTTCCAATAGGAGCCAAGCATAAATCAGGGAGCTGACTTTATCCAATAGGAAACTTTATTATAGGAAATTAAAAAAAAGAGAGAGGAGGAGAAAAAGAGACAGGGGGAAGTTTTATATATATATTTATATTTAAAGCGGAGACTACACAATCTCCAAGGAATCACTGCAGAGCTGGGGTGGGGAGGTGTGGCAAGGGAACAAGGCTTTTCAGAATGACACACACAGCCTCGGTTCTCTTCGCTGGAGGCAGAGGCAGAGGGGAAGGGAAGATGTTCTGTTCCCTCTCCCTTCCTTCCCGGGTGGAGAAACAGAAAAGAGCTGATTCTATTTGCCTGCCGCTGTTGGGTTTGTTGCTTTCTACCCTAAAGCATTTCCCCAAAGGAAGACAGGAAGGGGAGGAGAGAAAACCAAGAAACAGGACTACTGTGTGTTGACTGGGATGGGAGGGGATTATCTGAGGTAAACTCTCAATCTCATTGTTTTGCTTTAATTACATTAGAGTTAATTAGAAAAAATAAATGCCTGGACTTGCTAATAGTTTTTAAGTTTCTGAACTGGAAGAAAGCAGAATCCACTGGGCTGTTGAGGAAAACCATGGTCTTCCCATTTGTCTCTAAATCAAAACAATGTGGGTTTGCTGGAGATAGTAAATGGAATCCAATAAACGAGTAGTATATTTAAAGAGGATAACAGTATGTATAAAGACAAGTAAATCTCACATCCAGAAAATTCAATTTTTTGTGTGAACTTCAAGCTTAAGATGATTTAGTTCAAACATTCCCATACACTTGACCTAAATTAAGGATTACAGAGCTGTAATTTAAGAAATATTTTAATACAATCTTAGACTGTTAGACCATGAAAGTTCTTATGCTACTAGATCATGAAGAGTTGGATTTTTCTTTTTTTAAATTCTGATAAAATCTAGTATTTTATGGTAATTCACTGATTACTTAACAAAGATGATAACAATGAATTAAAGAATTCATTTTTCTTTCTGACAAATCTAAAACCTATCCTATAGATTGCTGCCAAATCAATCTTCATAAAGTTTTCATAATCGAGAATAGTGGCTAAGAGTATAGGTTCTGCAGTCAGAGTGCCTGGCTTCCAACTCCTCCTCTATAAATACATTCACTCAAGTATATGTACTACTATGTGACCTTGGGCTAAATTATATAGTTTTTCTGGGATAGACATTTGGAAAAGTAGGTTAAGATGCTACTCGGAATGCCTATATTCCATATCAAAGTGCCTGAGTTCATGTCCCAGCTATTCTAATGTGCACCCTGTGAAGCAGTGGTGATAGCTCAAATCTTTGGGTCCCTGGACACCCACTTGGAAAATTCAGTTCCTAGCTCCTGGCTTTGTTCTAGCCCAGCTGTTGCAGGCATCTGGGAAGTAAACTAGCAGAAGGGAGATCTCTCTGTCTTTGAAAATATATGATTTTAAATATATACAATCTCTCTGAGCCTCAGTTTCCTTAATTATACAATGGGGATAACTATTTCTTTCACAAGATTGTGTGGGAATTACTTAATAAAACTCTTAGAACAATATATGGCATATAATATAAAATGAGTAAGAATTCATTAATATTGTTTCAGTATCTACCTTGCCCAAGAGCCTTCAGTGGCTCATCACTGCCCAATAATATCAACCAACAATGAAATGTCTACCAAGTGAGAGGACACTCTTTGAGCTCATTTCCTCTTTTAAAACACCACCATGGTGGGGTTTGCCTCTCTTGGAGCCCCTCTCCTGGCCTGACTTGAATAAATGTTGCTTTTCTTTCTGCCTTGAAAAAAAGAATCATGGAAATAGTAGTATTACCATCATTTTACAGAGAGAAAATCAAGTCTCAGCAGGTAAAGAATCTGTCTAAATGAACCCCTCATCAGTTTGAATCCAAAGTCCATGTTCTTTCCATCACTTAGCAAGATGATCAGATAAAGGTCAAATTCCTCTTCTGCTTTCAAGGTACATTTATTCATTCAACACATCAAAATAACACTTATTAACTATACTCTGATCTTTCCTTACCTAAACTGGAATTCTAACCTCCTTAGCATAAATGTGCCCTTTTAATCAGTCTGATGTAGTCATCATCCACCCCTTGGTACTTGGTCTATAATCTCATAAACACTTGCATTTGTTCCATAAAGTCCAGAGAGAATTTCTCTAAGAGGCCAGCACTGGAGCACAGTGCATTGAATCACTGCCTGCAATGCTGGCATTCCATACACGTGCCAGTTTGAGTCCCAGCTGCTCCACTTCCAATCCAGCTGCCTACTAATACATCCAGGAAAGCAGCAAAAGATGGCCTGAGTGCTTGGGCCCCTGCCACCCATGTGGGAGACCTGGATGGAGTTCCAGGCTCCTGGCTTTGGCCTGGCCCAAACTCAGCTGTTGCAGCCATTTGGGGAGTGCACCAGCAGAAGGAAGGATCTTTCTCTCTCTCTGTGACTCTTCCTTTCAATAAATGAATAAATCTTTAAATTAAAAAAAAATTTCTCTTAGAAAGTGCTGGAAGACCAAATAGGCATCACAGTACTTGTTTGATAGGCTTTAATCAAAGAATGGAAAATGAATATATCATAACAAAGGTATGAACAACCTTTAAAGTTTCATTATCTAAGAATCTTCTCCCACTTCTTTTTTCTATTCTCCCATAGCAAATCTGAAAGCTACAGATGATTGCCAAAGGAACACAATCAGCATAAGAGAGTGTTATTGATACATTGATTACTAGATCAGAGCCATTTTAGAACGTGCCATGGTTTTCTAGAGATAAATCAGTCTTGTTTTTTTGCATCACTGCTCACAACTTCCAAGTATTTTGCCTTCCTTTTTGCTTTTGTGTGTGTTTGTGTGTATTTCTGTCTCTGCTACCAGAAGATAAACTTCATGTGTCCATGTCAATTTTTTTTTTTTTTTTAAGATTTGAAGGACAGTTACAGAGAGAGGTCTTCCATCTGCTGGTTCACGCCTCAAATGGCTGCAACAACTGGAGTCTCATCCGGGTCTCCCACATGGGTGCAGGGGCCTAAGCACCATCCTCCTTATCAGCAGGGAGCTGGATCAGAAGTGGAGCAGCTGAAACTTGAACTGGCGCCCACCGCCCACATGGGATGCCTGCACTGCAGGCCGGCACTTTAACCTGCTGCAACACAGTGCTGCCCCTGACCTAGTCTTCTCTGTTAAATTTACCACAGCTGAATGAACGAATGAAGTATCTTTGCTTACTAATTTATGCAATCCCGGGACAAGTAATGAATTTGTGGATAACATTCGAAATAGAATTACAAATAAATCAAGAAAGGAACTCAGTGGTGGAAAATGCTAACATTTAACTAAAATTGCTACCTCCAAAGAAAGCATCACAGGCATTAATACTAACTCAGAAAAAAACCCTTTACACTTAGTGTAATAAAGAGAATAAAAAGAATTAGTTCCATTTAGGTTTATTTTGAACACCTACTGATAACCAGGTACTCTACTAGACATCAAGGATAACAAGATAGACAAGTTTCCTGTTTTCACAGAATTTACATTCTAGGAGGAGAGAAAAGATTAATAAAGATAAATGTAGACCAGGCACTGTGTAGAGATTTAAAAGAAATCGATGGGGGCTGGCGCTGTGGCTTAGCTTGTGAAGCTGCCGCCTGCAGTGCCAGCATCCCATATGGACACTGGTTTAAGTCCCAGCTGCTCCACTTCTGATCCAGCTGTCTGCTATGGCTTGGGAAAGCAGTAGAAGATGGCCCAAGTCCTTGGGCCCCTTCTGGCTCCTGGCTTCAGATCGGCCCAGCTCGGGCCAGCCGTTATGGCCATTTGGGGAGTGAACTAGTGAACGGAAGACCTGTCTCTCTGTCTCTCTCTGCCTCTGCCTGTCTGTAATTCTGCCTTTCAAATAAATAAATAAATCTCTTTAAAAAAATAAAACAGACTGATGAGAATGACTTACAGCTTGCTCTTGATTGTATATTAAGGACAACCTCTTGGAAGAAGTGAGGTTTAGGCCGGCGCCATGGCTCATTTGGCTAATCCTCCGCCTGCGGCACCGGCACCCCGGGTTCTAGTACCGGTTGGGGTGCCGGTTCTGTCCCAGTTGCCCCTCCTCCAGGCCAGCTCTCTGATGTGGCCTGGGAGTGCAGTGGAGGATGGCCCAAGTGCTTGGGTCCCTGCACCCGCATGGGAGACCGGGAGGAAGCACCTGGCTCCTAACTTCGGATCGGCGCATTGTGCCAGCTATGGCAGCCATCTGGGGGATGAACCAACGGAAAAGGAAGACCTTTCTCTCTCTCTCTCTCTCTCACTCTGCCTGTCAAAAAATAAAATAAAATAAAAGCTTGTCTTTGAACACGGCGACATACAGCATGAAAAAAAAAAAAGAAGTGAGGTTTAAGTTGAATTCTTAGTGGTAAGAAGCAAACCACAAGACAGGAGCAGCAGCTACTGTGCATGCCAAAGCTCCAAGGTGTGGGGCTACAACACCCTGCACCCAGCTGAGGTGCTGGAAATGAGGATGGAGGGATAGGTGAGAATCAGAATATGAAAGTTTGTGTAAGGAGTTTGGATTTTTACTGCTAAATAGAGTAAAGCCTTTGGAGGCTTTAAACAGAATGACATGATCTAAATCACATTTTGAAAAGATCTACTAAATGGATTTATGCAACAAATGGATTAAAGAAGGTGCAAAATTAGTTTGAATACTAATGCACTGATCAGGTTGTAGTGATGGTGATATGGGTTAGCATAGCAATAAAAATATGTCAATAAATTGAAGAGATAGTTTATACATACAGGCTTGGTTTTGTTTCTTTCATTGTTTTGTTCTGATACATGGGACATAACATTCATAGCTCAGTTTTGTTTTTTTGTTTTTTGGTTTTTTTTTGTTTTGTTTTTTGTTTTTTTGTTTTTTTGTTTTGTTTTTTTTTTTTTTTTGACAGGAAGAGTTAGACAGTGAGAGAGAGACAGACAGAGAGAAAGGTCTTCCTTCCATTGGTTCACCCCCCAGATGGCTGCCACAGCCGGAGCGCTGCACTGATCCGCAGCCAGGAGCCAGGTGCTTCTCCTGGTCTCCCATGCGGGTGCAGGGCCCAAGCACTTGGGCCATCCTCCACTGCACTCCCTGGCCACAGAAGAGAGCTGGACTGGAAGAGGAGCAACCGGGACAGAATCCGGCGCCCCAACCGGGACTAGAACCTGGTGTGCCGGCGCCACAGGCAGAGGATTAGCCTAGTGAGCCGCAGCGCTGGCCCACAGCTCAGTTTTACAACCCTCAAAGTTTAACTTCCCTACCCACAACCATAACCCTACACACAAACACACAGAAACAAGATACCATAAAATGGTGAAGCAATTAGGGAAGAGCTATGCCAGGTAAAAAACGGGTTTTAAAAAGAAATATTAAAAATTATTATATACAGTAGGATGCCATGCTGCGATGACTCCAGTTCTAAAATAGACTAAAACTTTAAATGCCAAGAAGAAATGGAAAAATTTCAACTCCAACAGAACACTGGTTATCCATGAAAATAAAAACAAAAGATTTTTACTCTTTTCTACCCTCTGGTGGCTACACCCTGCCATAGAGAATTTTTCATGTTTGAAACCTTGGATAGGTTAGCCATGTATCAGTCCTCTCAGAAACTCTACGAACACAGATTCAACTAAAATGGTATTGGACTGAAAAAAAAAAAAAAAAAAGAGTTCTGTCTACTGGAAAATTAATGTAGCCCTGATGGCAGTATATTAACATAAAGATATAGTAATATTTCTCATCTATACTAGTATAGTATACTAGCGTTATGCTAGTACTCAACCTGCCCAATCAAGTCTTCACTCTACAGTAACAGATGCCACACACCATTGTTTGCCTTGCTCACTTGTGTGTGTGTGCACGCATGTGTGTGCTGCTGACAACTGAAATCTGTCCTCCTCCTGCTAAGTTTTATATCCTTTCACAAACACTGCTTCCTCTTCAAAATACAACGGCAACTGAAAATGTCTTGTGTTCCCTGTTTCTTTTTCCATCTTAAAGATCACAGGATTCAAAGTAAGGAAAATATTGCCTGACTTGGAAGCACACTTCCTGAACCATTTCAGTTCATTATCTCAAATCCTTTCTATACTATATATATAGTATAGAAAGTATATATATATATATATATATATATATATATATATGGGATGAGCATTGGGTGAAGCGATCAGGATGGCATTCACAATGCCCGCATTGCACTCAGTAGCACCTTGCTGTAAGTCCTGGCTCTGCTCCCAATTCTAGCTCTGCTTTCCCAGGCCATAGCAGAGAGCTGGATCAGAAGTGGAGCAGCCGGGGCCGGCCATGGCTCACTTGGTTAATCCTCCGCCTGCGGCGCCGCCATCCTATATGGGCACTGGGTTCTAGACCCGGTGGCTCCTCTTCCAGTCCAGCTTTCTGCTATGGCCCGGGAGGGCAGTGGAGGATGGCCCAAGTGCTTGGGCCCTGCACCCGCATGGGAGACCAGGAAGAAGCACTTGGCTCTTGGCTTCAGATCGGCACAGCGCCGGCCATAGCAGCCATTTGGGAGGTGAACCAACGGAAGGAAGACCTTTCTCTCTGTCTCTCTCTCTCTCACTGTCTATCTGTCAAATAGATAGATAGATAGATAGATAGAAAGAAAGAAAGAAAGAAGTGGAGTAGCCGAGACCCAAACCAGCACCTATATGGGATGCCTGCACTGCAGGCGGCAGCTTAACCCGCTACGCCACAGCGCCAGCCCCTCAAGTCCTTTTGAAAAGGTGTTAGGTATCAATAAAGACATATTGAGCACATGATACTACTCACCCCCACATTTTGTCCTTTCTTAGGCAAATTCCTTTCTACCACCTGCAGCTGGCAACAGTGAACGCTGCTTGGCTTTAATTAACCGCACTTTGTTACCAAAACCTTGGATCCAGCCCTTTTCTCCCAGAGCTGGACATTAACTGACAACTACCGAGGGAGAGTAAAACACACAGGCCAAATTACTGACCAGATTTGTACTGTGAGTTGGCATTCCCTATATAAATGATAAATTTGGATCATTTAACTTTTAGTATCATCTCTGAAAAAAGGTGTTTCCAGTCAAGAACCGAAGTACATAAAAGGTCTCAGGACGGTCACAGCAGACCCCTCCAGGGAGAAGTTTCTACAATTCTCTCGGGTTATGGGTTTGAGATTCAGGATTGGAGCGGGATTCTGGGGAAAAAAACCAAATTCAGAAACTTGCCCAATAACCTTGTTCCAGAACATTTCTAGTGTTCAGACATGTCTAGATTAAAGTATCAGCACTAACGGGTCAGTCAGCAGCTCATTCTGAGGCTTCTTCCTCCACGAAGCCCGGCAAGCTCTCAGCACGGCTAAAACCATTTGCAGCCTCTTCAAGGGGAAGACGGAGGCATCTTTCAATTGCCTCGGAACCCACCCTAAAGGGGTATCCCGACCCCCTCTTTGGTGTGCCTTCATCCAGGACCAAAGATGAACGCGGTTTCAGTAAAGGGCCCTTCCCCCTACCTCTTACAGCAGCCCAGCCATCTTCCCTCAGCCAAGTCCCTCGAGACTTAGTCTCCCGCCCAAAGCTTTCCTCCTCCTCTGATTGGTTCTCCGCGGGGCCTTCGGCCAATGGGGATGACGTACTCAGGAAGGCGTAGGCCCGAGGGCTCGGGGAGGAGGAAGGACCTTCGGCCCCGCGTCGCGCCGTGCGCGAGGGCGGCGGCGCGTGGTGTGCGGTGTGGGTCGCGTGGCCTCGGGCCCTCGCTGTCACCACTGCCCAGTGCATGTGGGCACGGAGAGCTCCAGGGGGGTGACTGCAAAGCCTCTGCGGCCACAGGTGGCCGTGAGGGACATCGCTGAGTTCGGCCCTCCGGGATTGCCCAGGCTCCATTCCCAGAAACCATTGCGCCGAGAGGTCTCTTTTCAAAGGAGTTGGGCCCGGGGCGCCCGGAGCGTTCGGGACACCCAGCTCTGCAGGGCCTTCCCTGAAGCCGTGCTTTCTCCGCCAGCCCCGATTTCTGTGGTTCTGGCCGGGGAAGAGACCCACCCGGGGCCGTGGGCCCACCTGCGCTGCTTGGCGCACTCTGTCGGTGCGAAGCTGGCCATAGGGAGGAGGCAAGGCAGGCTGGACAGAGGACCTAAGCACAGAAAGTGCACAGAGCAGCAGATCCTACAGCAAGGCTATCCCAGGTTGGGTCTGGGGGCTGGGCCAGGCGGCTGGTGTTTGGGAAGCTTCCCCAGGGCCCTTGCGCGGCAGCCACCCTTCACCCATGTCTCTTGCTGGAATTGGCATTGAGCCTGCCCTCTCTGAATTGACCTTTCAATTCTTTTCTTTCCTGATAGTTTTGACGTGAACTATCCAGACCCTCAGTGCCACCTGACAAAAACTGCATGCCAGGAAAGGAACACAGCCGTGCAGTGAGTGTGGGGATTTCAGTGCAAAGGAAAATTGGAAATGTCGTGGGCCCGACGTTAGAATATCGTTTGTTTGGTGAGGGGCAGGCTGCTTAGCTCTCCTTACTCTGTTGTCAGCCGGGTAATTAACCAGACAGGCAAAATGAAAAGCCAAACTCGTGGCCAGGTCCCAGGGTCAGTCAGGCTTAACTTTGGTCTAGGACGTTGACCCGAGGGTGGCAGTATCCTCCTTTCTGAGCGAACTTCCTGCGGAGTTCAGGGGCGTCTCTGCTTTGTCGTGCACCCTCTGCTGGCTAGTGTTGGCAGTGCGTGCTCAGAGAAAAGGCACATAGGGTTCCTAGAGATGACTTGATACCTCGTGGTTTTTAAAAAGTGTTCAGTGAGGATTTTACCCACGGAACTGAGACTTTATGCTCTGAGAAACCAGCAGTGTCATTTCAGTCTCTGTGATAATGTGGATGAGGAAGATTGAGGGCAATAATAGTTGCCTTTTGGGAGAGGACAGTTCTTTTGTGCCAGGCACACACAATGTTAAATGGTTTTACCTGCACGGACTCATTTAAATTTTAAAACAGCCCTACAAGGTAAGTTTTGTTATTTCCATTTCATTGGTAGGAAAACTAAGACTCGGATGCTGAGTCCCTCGAATGAGATTATACAACTACGCAAGTAACTAACAGTGTCAGGAGTCAAACCCAAGTCTATCTCTGAGCTCTTGCATGTAACCACTATGATGATACACTTTCCTGAGATCCCGCTGGCACAGCTTCTGGGCTGCTGCTCCTGAGTTCTCTCTCTTACTTTAAAAAACGTCCCTGCCATTTTAAAGACAAAAAAACAATTAGGCATAATGCTTCTGAAGTGTATAATCTTACCTACAGGAATCTGATCCGTGAGAACCTAGGTTTATTAAGAAGCTACCGACATGTGCTCTCCTGCCAGTTCCAAAATCCTTTACAGGAACCCTCGGTTCCTCCGGTTAGCCTTTCTGCAGCTTCATCACCAGCAGCAGAGTGGTGTGTTTTGTGATGTCCTTCTGCAGGCAGAAGGTAAGAAACTTGTGGGGACTGAACTGAAAACTCACCATAAAATAAGATAAAATGGGAGGTATGTGGTGGGTGTTTAGCCTAGTGGTTAAGATTCCTGTTAAGGGGCTGGCTTTTGGCACAGCACCTAAGTTGCCATTTGGGATACTTGCATCCCCTATCAGTGTCTAGGTTCATGTCCTAGCTACTCCACAGCCAAACCAGCTTCCGGATAATGCGCTGCACGTGAGACAGCAGATCGTGGCTCAAGTACTCAGGTTCCTGCCACCCATGTGGGATACCTGGATTGTGTCCCTTGCTTCTGGCTGTGTCCTGGCCCAGCCCTGGCAGTTGGGGGGCATTTGGGCTGTGAACCAGAGAAGGAAGATTCTCTCTCTCTCTCTCTCTCCCTTTCAAATAAAATGGAATAATAATAATAATTATAAAAACACCAGTTAAGATGCTCATGTCCTACACCAGAGTATCTGGATTTGATACCAGGCTCTGGCTCCTGACTCCACCTTCCTATTAATGCATTCCCTGATAGACAGCAGTGATGGCTCAGGTAATTGGGTTGCTGCTGCCCATGTGAGAGACCAGGACTGAGGTACCAACTTCCAGTTTTGGCTCTGGCCCAAACTAACAACAGTTGGGATCTATATACACATACAATGTACATACATATATGCCTCTGTCAAAATTAAGATTTTGTTGACACTGATATGGAATGCAAGATTTTATTTATTTAAGAGGCAGAGTTATAGACAGGGAGAGACAGAGAGATCTTCCATCCGCTGGTTCACTCCCCAAATTGCCAAAACAGCTGGAGCTGGGCTGATCTAAAGCAAGGAGCCAGGAGCTTCTTCTGGGTCTCCCACATGGATGCAAGGGCCCAATTACTTGGGCCATCTTCCACTGCTTTCCCAGGCCGTTAGCAGGGAGCCAAATTGGAAGTGGAGCATACAGGACTCAAACCAGCACCCATATGGGATACCAGACCATAGGTGGATGCCTAACCTACTACACCATTGCATTGGCCCCTCCTTTTTTTTTTTTTTAAGATTTATTTTATTTATTTGAAAGGCAGAGTTAGAGAAGGAGAAACAGAAAGAGGTCTTCCAACCTGTGGTTCACTCCCCAAGTGGCTACAATGGCCAGGGCCGGGCTAGGCTGAAGTAGCAACCAGGAGCTTCTTCCAGATCTCCCACGCAGGTGCAGGGACCCAAGCACTTTGGCCATATTCTGCTGTGTTCCCAGGCACAATAGCAGGGAGCTAGTTCAGAAGTGGAGCAGCCGGGACTGGCGCCCATAAGGGATGCCAGCACTGCAGGCAGCATCTTTACCTGCCACGCCACAGCGCCAGCCCCCAAATAAATATTTTTTAAGAGAATAAGGTAAAATGAGTTTAGGACCAGGTAATAAAAAATGAAAACAGAAATATGTGAAAATCACCTTTGGAGCAATATAAACTATTTGATGAGTAGCTGTTTATCTCTAAGACAGTTATTGTTTTCAAGAATGAAGGGTTTTTAAAAATTTTTATGTATTTTCATTTTATTTGAAAAGCATGGATACAGATCTTCCGTCTGCTGATTTACTCCCAAAATGCCCACAACAGCCAGGGATGGGCCAGGACAAAGCCTGAAGCCCAGAACTCAATTCTGGTCTCCCATGTGGTTGGCAGGGACCCAGGTACTTAAGCCATCATCTTCTGCATCCCAGGATGTGCATTCGTAGGAAGCTAGATCATAAGCAGAGGAGCCAGGACTTACACCTGGCACTTGTGGGATGTAGGCGTCCCAAGAAGCAACTTAACCGTTGTGTCGAACACCTGTCCCAAGAGTGACGTTTTAACTATGCTTTTCTCCTCTTGAACAGTGAAGCTAACTTTAAAGTTTTATAAGCATAGAAATTTTATAATAGGTAACAGGATACTTGTGAACATTAAGATTTAACACATGTTAAGTATTTATAGCAGAGCTTTGGGCATACTAACCACAGTATAAGTGTTAAATGATGCTATAACATATTGGCATTTCCTTGCGAAGCTCTTGCTTAATTTTGATGTTGGCTGTTGTTGGAACTGAAAACAAATAGTTTATTTTCCACCTCTTCGTTTCACACTCAAACTATTAAATCAGCACGAAGAAGATCTTGGTATAAATAAAAGACCCAAGATTAAGTATCAGGGGTAGGTTTATTTTTGTATTTTTAAAAAATGTTTATCTGTTTGAAAGGCAGAATGACACAGCTCTTCCATCTGCTGGTTCACTCCCTAAATGCCCATAGGTGGGGCCCAACCAGATCAAAGCAAGGGTCCTAGAACTTCATCCGGATTTCCCAGGCGGGTAGCAGGGGCTCTAGTGCTTGGGCCATCACATGCTGTCTCCTGGGCACGTTAGCAGGAAGCTGGATTGGAAGCAGAGTACCCAGGACTCAGACCCAGCACTCTTACATGGGATGCAGGTATTCCAAGCAACAGCTTAGCCTGATCCACCACAATGCTAACCTGATAGGCCAGTTTATGTACTAGCCTTGTTATTTAGTAACTAAGTACTATGAGCAAGGTACCTGCATATCTCTAGGGCTGTTTTTTCATTTATAAAATAGGATGGTGACAACTAGCAATGTGTAGCAGTCTACAGTTTACAGAGTACATATAATAGTGTTTCATTTGATTCTAACAGCCTCCTGAGATAAGTTTTATTACATGGTTCCAACTCTATAGATATCTGAATTGTGGCCTACAGTTAAGTGACTTACCTGTTGTGATTTTCTTAATAAGTAGGTGGAGCTGAGATTCATTTATTAATTCAAAATAAGCAAAGCAGTGTCCACTGATTGTTTTATGCTAAACATTGTGCTGCTCGGGCATATCGTATTTACTAAAAAGTCACTCCTCTTAAGAATATCATGTAGCTATTGTGCATTTAGGTAACTGTGTAGTGTATTAAAACTTGGGGGGTGGGCAGGCATTTGTCACAGTGGTTAGGATACCTGCATCCCATATCAGAGGATGTGGGTTTGAGTTCTGGTTCCACTTTGAATTCCAGCTTCCTGGTGATGTGTACCTAGGCAGTAGGTGATGATCCAGGTAGCTGGGTCCCTGCCACCCATGTAGGGGACCCAGACTGAGTTCTCAGCCCTGGCTGTTGTGGACATTTGGGGAATGGATCAGCAGATCTCTGTCTGTGCTGCCTCTCTCTGACTTACAAATAGAAATTTTAAATATATATATATAGTTTAAAATTAATGTGAAAGCACAAAAGAATCACATCCTTCACACTTGAGGAGGCTAGGGAACAGGGCTAGGTAACTTTTCTGGGCAGAAATAACCCCTTTAGGTAAAAGCTAAAGGACAGAGGAGGAACAAATAGGGAAGTTTTTGCAGGCAGTGAAAACAGCATTTACAGAGGTTCCCATATGGGACCAGGGTTTGCAAATTGTTCATTATTGGCTAGAACACAGACTGTAAGAGGTGTGTTGACCAGAGATGGCTAAAGAAATTAGCAACCATGTTCTAGCTGAAGTATCATGCCAAGAAAGTACATCTTGTCTTCAGCGCATGGGGAAACATACTGAACAGTGTTAAGCAGGAAGTTTGATCAGATAACCTGCTTTAGAAACAACACTCAGGGGATGGCTCTGTGGTTAAGCCACCACTTAGGACACCAGCATCCCATACCAGAGTGCTAGTTCAAGTCTGCGCTACTCCACTTCCAATTCAGCTCCCTGCTAATGTGCCTGGGAAGGAAGAAAATAATGGCTCCAAGTTCTTGTGCCCCTGCCATCCACATGGGAAACCTGGATCTGGCTGAGTTTTGGGCTCCTGGCTATTGCAGGCATTTGAGAAGTGCATCAGAGAATGGATGAGATTATATATGTATCCCTCTGCCTTTCAGGTAGATAAAAAAAAAAAAAAACTGGCCTTTTTTTCATTGGTATTTCATTAGGTAGGGTGGATAAAGTAGAAAGAAGAATGAAATGACTGCTAGTTTTCAGGCTTGGGCAACTGGGTGGATTTGATACCTTATTTTGATGTACAGAATAGGAGGTTTTGGGGTTGGAGAATGATGAGTTCATTTTTTGTAAAAGTTGTAGTGGAGGTGCTTGCCAGGTAGACATGAAGGCTATTGCGCATCTATCTCTGGGAAGACATCTAGACACAGATACGGATCTCAGGAGTCATCCGCAGGCCTTTAGTAATTGAAGCCATGACAGAACGAACAAGGTAGCCCAGGAAGTGCAAATAAAATGAGAAGGTGGTCCAGAACAGACCACTGTGTGGTATGCAGTGGCCAGGACCCAAGAGAAAACTGAGTCTACCTCCAAAGCTCATGCTCTGTTAGATCACAGGTTCTACTTAAAATGTTCTGAACTCTTGTGTCAGTAAAGGAAATTCATTCAGCAAGTCTTTGAGCCTCTGCTTGTGTCAAGGAATATACTGAGTGAACAAGACAGACATGGTACCTATCCACATGAAACTTAGTCTAGTGAGGGAGGTAGAGTTACAGTACAGGTGGATAAATGCTGACAGCTAAGTACCACTGAGTGCCTAGGAGTACCTAACCGATACCTGTCATGGGACGGACGAGGGCTTTCTGAAGGAAGTGACGTTATAAAGATTTTTAGAGGATAGGGGCCGGCGCTGTGGCTCACTTGGTTAATCCTCCACCTGTGGCGCTGGCATCCCATATGGGCACTGGGTTCTAGTCCCAGTAGCTCCTCTTCCAGTCCAGCTCTCTGCTGTGGCCTGGGAGGGCAGTGGAGGATGGCCCAAGTGCTTGGGCCCTGCACCCGCATGGGAGACCAAGAGGAGGCTCCTGGCTTCGGATCAGCATAGTTCCAGTAGCAGCCATTTGGGGGGTGAACCAACGGAAGGAAGACCTTTCTCTTTGTCTCTCTCTGTGTAACTCTGTCAAATAAATTAAAATAAATAAATAAAAAAGATTTTACAGGATAAAGAAACTTAGGGCAGGAAGAACAAGTTTCTCGTTTCACCTCCATAGAGGGGAAAAATAAGAGAAGCAGCAGTAGCAGACACTGGAGTAGTAATGAATGTGCTTACCCCATGAATATGCCAGTCCACATAACCAAGGTGCTTGGGCTTCCCTGCAGGTGAGGCAGTCCCAGCGCACTGCTGCATCCTGTCGGCCTGCAGCCCCTTCTTCACAGAGCGCCTGGAGCGGGAGAGGCCAGCTCAGGGTCGGAAGGTGGTGCTGGAGCTGGGCGGCCTGAAGATCAAGACCCTTAGGAAGCTGGTGGACTTCCTGTACACCTCGGAAATGGAAGTATCCCGAGAAGAGGCCCAGGATGTCCTTGCTGCTGCCCGCCAGCTCCGTGTGTCTGAGCTAGAATCTCTTCAGCTGGAGGCTGGGAAGTTGGTCAAGGCTCCACAGGGGCGAAGACTGAACCGACAGTGCTTACAGCCACCAAGTGCCGCGCCAGTCTCTGCCAGAGTGGTGGTGCCCAGCCGCCGCCCCCGAATTCCACTGCCCGTTAGCCAGACTCCTTGTCCTCTTGGAGCGGTGAGATTCAAGTCCTCGGGAAGGGAGGAGGAGTCCCAGGAGAAGAGCAACCGGCAGAATGTAGAAAACTTGTCAGCCACTCTTCTGCTCAAGAAGAAGGCCAGAGCCTGCCCAGTTCCACAAGAAAAAAGCTCTTCTCCATCAAGCCACAGTCAGGGGCCTGAGGACAAGAACAACCCTGTCCTTGGCCCTCCCGTACTCTCCCCACCCAGCTTGTACCCCTCTGTGGATGAGCAACTACTGCCTAGAAAAATCAGGCTGAGTCGCTCAAAGCCATCTCCTGATGTCTGTGCATCAAAACCTTCCAATGTGGTGAGTGGACCCAGCTCAGTGCCCACAGCCCCTGGCCGGCGTCTCTGGCGACAGAAGAGTCTAAGTAAAGAAGCAGCAGGGGACAAGCAGAAGCCGGGGAGGGCTAGTCCCTTACAGAGCACCGCAAGCCCATCTGGTCTTGGGAAGATGGGCGGGAACAAGAAGCGGAGCCCTGAACTCAGGGCACCTAACTCCAGTTCTGCGGAGGAGGGGCAGGTCGGGAGGGTGAAACTTCGGAAGATTGTCAATGGCACTTGCTGGGAGGTGGTGCAAGAGCCTCCCCTCAAAAACTCTCAAGATAACCCCCAGATCCCAGAACCTGGAGGCGGCTTGGAAGAGCCTCCAGGGACTCAGCCGTCCTCAGTTAATGAGCAGGAAACATCATCTGCTAGAATAGAAATGTGTCAGGACTCTCCGGTGTGTTCTAGGCTACAAGACATTCTGCTCTCTGCCAGCCACTCCCCAGACCACCCAGTGGTGAAGTCCGAGTTTGGGTCCAGTCCAGAGCTTTCAGGGAAGGAGCCAGCTCTGTTGGACATTGACTGCAGAGAGCCCTATGCATTTGACTCAGCCCTGCTGGAGCAGCCCTGCGAAGCTGAGGAGTACCGAATCACAAGTGCTGCTGCCACCAGCGAGCTGGAGGAGATCCTAGACTTCATGCTGTGTGGCTCGGACATGGAACCACCCATGGGATCCCTGGCAAGTCCCGGGGCTGAAGGCTGCAGAACCCCGAGTTACCACCTCACAGAAACAGGGAAGAGCTGGATTGAAGGGGAAGAATGGTGCTTGCCAGACATGGAACTGTGGCCCACAGAGCTGGACAAGGAAGCTGTTAACGAGGACAAACAGCCAATCGAACCCCTCAGCCCTCTTGTCATGCCCTCTGAGATAAGTGCAGGACAGGTACTTTCAGGAGGCCCTTGGACCCCAGATCTTGAAGTGAACAGTTCCCAGCCACTGAGTGGTCAGGGAGACAAACTTCTCCAGATGGACTCTCTTGACCCTCCCAGGAAATCTTTTGGCAACCTCTCACCTCCCTGCTCAGACTGGGTGGAAACTGGGCTGCAAGTACCTTTGACAATGGATGAGGTGTCATACCCTGCTCCAGAGACAGGCAAGGAAGGATCTGGTAACTCTGAGCTTCCAGGCTCACTTTCCGCCAGCCCTGAAGAGGAAGAGATTGACGTGGTGGACTGGACAGCAGAGGGGAGGCTGGTGCCCAATAGCATTCCCTCTGTATGGCCTGATCCTTCCTCAGAGTCAGAGACAGAGGTAGATATACTCACGTAGTGGAGCGGGGAGGGTAGGGTAGGGGCCCTGGGAGGGTGGGAGGTGCTGGCTCACAAAAGGCCTATTTGTGGAGTAGCCAGCACGCGCCCTCTCCTCTGAGCACAGGAGTGAGCTCCTGGTCCCCTCCTCCCCTCCCCAGGCTTTGGGAGCCAAGCATGTCAGGTACCATGGGTAGAAAATTATGAACTGGAACTATTTTATTTCTTTGTAATCTGTTTTGCAGTTAGTAACAAATAAAACAATAAACTGTGTGGTCCCCAGCTCGAGTGGGTCACAGGTTACCAGCCTAGGCCATAAGCATCTAGTCACTGCTAATTCAGGAAGATAACACCTCCTATGGTGAGATTCAGTGTAAGAAAAAACATTCCAAAAGGTGTTAAGCAGAACACTGAGTGGGCAGGAGTGATGGGACACTGTAGGCCAAGAAAACGCACTTCCGTCACTTCTGAGTGAGCTCACGTATACAGCTGCTTTCAGACAAGTTATTTACTCTTCTTTTTTAGCTTTTACAAGTATTTCACATGCATTATCAGAGACCCTGGGAGTTCCAGGTCAAACTGTCCCCTTGGGTTGTGAAAAACTCAAGAATCACCGACCCCACACAGCTGGCTTTGTCCATTCTTAACATCAGACAAATGAAACTGTTAGATGCTTTATTTTAATCTTTATTAAACAATCCAAATGCAGGAACTTTTGCAATGCCTTACTAGAGGGCTGCCTCACACTGAGCCGTCATTTCTGGAGAGGAAGAAACTGTGGCTTCAGGCACATGACTGAAGTTTGGCCATGTCCCGTCATGAATGCTCCAAGATCCCCAGGGGCAGAAAGCTGCAAAAATGAGAGGGGGAAGTTAGAGAAGGAATCCTGGCATCCAAAGATCAAGGAAGACATATCCCTTCACCCTTGAATTCACAAGCCCAGGAGGCTCAAGAATTGTATTCTTGCCCTACATCTCTCAACATCAAGCCAAACATTGTTTATATAGCACTAGGGACGAAGTCAAATCCTGTAACCAGGAGTAACAAGATTCTAGTTCACTGTTAATCATACGGGTTGTTGACAGGACAGTGGAAGAGGGTAGGGAGACGCACACATGACGTTAACATTAAAGGCATCCAGAAGGGTTTTGGTAGAAGGAATCCCTTCTCACCAACTCACACAAATGCAAAAACAAGTGTCTAAAATTCTAACTCTGAGCCAGTAAGATTTACAACTGGCGTAAAGAATAAAAATACGAGCCATTAGGGGCTGGCATGGTAGTGCAGCAGGTTGAGCTGCCGCCTACAACGCTGGCAACCCCAACCCATATCAGAGCACCAGTCAAGTCCCCGTTGTTCCACTTCCAGATCCAGCTCCGTGTGAGCATAGTACTTGGCTTGGAGGCCTGGCCCAACCCTGGCTGTTGTAGCCATTTGGGGAGTCAATCAGTAGATAGAGGATAGCTCTGCCCCGCTCCCATTCTGTCTTTCAAATAAATAAAATCTTTCAGGGGGGCCACCACTGTGGCGTAGCAGGTAAAGCCAACTGCCTGCAGTGCTGGCATCCCATATGGGCGCCGGTTCAAGTCCCAGCTGCTCCACTTCCAATCCAGCTCTCTGCTATGGCTTGGGAAAGCAGCAGAAGATGGCCTAAGTCCTTGGGCCCCTGCACCTACATGGGAGACCTGGAAAAAGCTCCTGGCTCCTGGCTTTGGATTGGCACAGCTCCGGCCATTGCAGCCAATTGGGGAGTGAACCAGCGGATGGAAGAATCTCTCTCTCTCTCTCCTTCTCCTCTCTCTGTGTAACTCTTTCATATAAATAAATAAATCTTTAATCAAAACAAAACAAAATGGTGCCGGCACTGTGGCATAGCTGGTAAAGCTGCTGCGTGCAGTGCTGGCATCCCATATGGGTGGTGGTTCGGGTCCTGGCTGCTGCACTTCCAATCCAGCTCTCTGCTATGGCCTGGGAAAGCAGTAGAAGATGGCCCAGATGCTTGGGCCTCTGCGCCTGCGTGGAAGACCCAGATGAAGCTCCTGGCTCCTAGCTTTGGATCAGCGCAGCTCTGGCCATTGCCATTTGGGGAGTGGACTAGTGGATGGAAGACCTCTCTCCCTCTCTGTAATTCTGCCTTTCAAATAAGTAAATAAAAATTAAAAAAAAAAATCTTTGGGGGGAGGAGGGAATGAGAAATGAGGAAAGAAGTTTATCAAACAGACAAGACTGATCCATTCCCCTAGGGCAGTAATCAACAGTCAATTCCATGGGCTGGCATTGTGGCATAGTGGGTTAAGCTACTGCCTACAATGCCAGAATTCCATTAGTGCCAGTTCGAGTCCTAGCTGCTCCACTTCCCATCCAGCACCCTGCTACTGCACCCGGGAAAGAAGTACTGGGCCCCTGCCACCCATGTGGGAGAACAAGATGGAGGTTCCAGGTTCCAGGCTTTGGCTGATCCAGCTCTGGGCCACTGCGGCCATTTGGAGAGTGACCCAGTGGGTAGAAGGCTACTCTCAGTCTCTATCTCTGCCTTTCCAATAAATAACTTTTTGGAAAAAAAAAAATCTACCAGAAAAGTAATGTTAGAGCAAAAGATCCTCCATCCAGTGGTTCATTCCCTCAATCACAACAGCCAGGACTGGACCAGGTCGAAGCCAGGAGCCTCATCGGGTCGCTCACTGGGTGCAGGAGCCCAAGGATTTGGTCGTGCTTGGCTGCTTTCCCGGACACATTAGCAGGAAGCAGGACCAGAAGTGGAGTAGCTGGAACTAGAACCCGCTACACCTCAACATGGTCCCATCCAATAAATCTTAAAAAAACTCCACCTCTGAAGATCTCAAACTACTTGTGCAATGATAATCATTTTACTTAAAAAAAAAAAAGGCATCCTATGTGAAATGAGTGGTGACGATTAAGGCTGCTTTCTAGGAAACCACACCAAGCTGAACCCCCCTCCCCTTAAAACCCGAACCCTGGTTTCAAACCTCAGCACGAGGAATTCTGCCGGAGCTTCCTTAAGACAGGTACTTCTTCAGCTCTTCCACCACTTGCTGAGGCTCAGGGAACTTGAGTTTCCGTGGGGGGCCCTTCTTAATCCCAGTCCAGAGCTCCGCGCCTAGCAAAGGACCGACTAGAGCTTAGTTACTCAGGAAGCCACCTGCCAGGCGGCCCCGCTGTGCCAGACCCCCGACTCCTCGCTCGGGCCCGCAGGCCGCGCCCCTCCCAGGCCCGGGCCCCCACTCACGGCTGCCGTCCGGGCGCAGCAGCGTCACCTCGAAGCTGCCCCTGCGAGGCTTGGAGGGGTTTACCGTCACGGGAAGCTCCGGCGCCTGCAGGCGCAGCGCCTGGCTCAGGGCCGCGGCGTTGCGCCCATAGACGCGTCAGCTCGTGCTAGGGAAAGCGCAAGGACGTTAGCGGCTGGGGTCTTCGGGCGGCCGTCGTCCCCGCTTCCCCTGGCCCCTCGTGAGTCCACAGGCCCCCTACCAATGCTCAATGACGATCTCCTCCACTCCCTGCCCGCCGTTTGCCAGCTTCTCCCGCTTCTCCGCGGATGCGACCGGGGCGGCCTCGGCTTTCCGCTTCCTCTTGCCCGGAGCCATGGCGCCTTTTACAGCCCGGCCGGAAACAGAGCCGCCCTGAGGTGGGAGAGAAAATGCGGCGGCCACTGAGCGAACACCCGACAGCGGCCAACCACGTCCCGAGGCCCGCACGGAAGGCCCGAAGTCCCGCTCCTAGAATCAAACCTCTCTCGCAGGAGCAGAAAGCGCGCCACGAGCCCCCCACGTGACCTGGAGGCGGGTCCTCTGGCCACTACCACTCGGCGCCGGGGACTGACGAATACCCGCCAGGGGGCGGGAGCAAGGGAAGACTGACAGCAAACCCCACTGCCCACAGGCTTTTCTGTGCCCACGCATCAGCTAGGCCCGCCCCCCGGAATCCGCGCGCCAATCACATACGAGGTCCACACCCCCTGCAGTCGGTGCTCTAGGGTTATGGAAGCTCCTGCCCCAACTCTAGGCTGTCTGGGGGCTCAATGCCCAGATTTTGGGGAAACCAGTGGACTCCTTTTTTTAAAAAAAAATTACGGGTTTTTTTTTTTTTTGGGGGGGGGGGGGTCGGTGCAGTGGCGTAGGTTAAGCCTCCGCTTGCAGCACCAGCATCCTGTATGGGTGCCAGTCCCAGTCCCCACTGCCCCACTTCTAATCCAGCTCCCTAATGCTCCTGGGAAAGCCAGGGATCCCTGCACCAACGTGGGAGACCCAGATGAAGCTCCTGCTATCCGCCTGGTCCAGCCTCCTCGTTGTGGCCATTTGGGGAGTGAACCAGTGGATGGAAGACGCGTCTCTCCCTCTCTAAAAATTTTCTGAAATATTTATTTGAAAGGCAGAGAAACAGCATGGAGCAGGACTGGAAGGGGAGCAGCCAGGATTTGAACTCTGGGCACTGCAGGCAGCAGCTCAGCCCACTACATTACAAAGCCTGAGCCTGGCTTTTCTATTACAAGAGAAACACACAAAGGCACAACACAAAGGAAATTCCAGTCTCTTTATTATGGAAAACCATCAACGGGGTGTGCCGCGGGGAAGGAGGGTTACAGAAACCCCAATCTAGACCAGGGGCTTTGTCCTCCAGGTCCCACTACACAAAGGAACGTCTCAAGCTTCTATTCCCCTTCTTCTCAATCCCCACAAAACAGGGGGACTGTTCCAACGCTGTTTCCAACGATGAGAACTCTTGTGGTTAAAGGTTTCTCCCTGGGACCTGTGTCAAAATTAGGCTTATACTTTTTATGAATGCCATAGGCCAAGCCAGGACCAGAGGAAGCCAAGTGTCCCTGAGGGTAAATTAACACCCTATACCATGGCATCTAATGTTAAAGTTTCATCTAGGTTAGGTTATGCAGGTCCAGTTAGAATAGTGAAACCACAGGGCGGTGATGACATCCAAGTGGTCGACAGCAGGTAACTCACTGACCCAAGCTGGGAGGGAACTAATTCCTCCCCCACTGTATGAGATCTCCCCCTTCCTCCAGTGGCATAACCAGCCAAAGAGCAGGTTTTCCTGCAGAGTGCCTGTCAGTTCCCTCCATGCCTCTTTAAAATCAGAAGCAGCACCCGGCCCCACCCACACAAGGAAAACTTAAATACAGGGTCGAAGCCTCAGGCAAGGCTTATGGATAGAGAAGGAGCTGAGCCTCAAGAGGTGCTTGTAATTGACAGGTAAGGAAGCAGTGCAATGACAAGGCCAGGATCCTATTTGTCCTTCTTGCTT